CCAAAAAACTATTCCCTTTATTTGTTTTTGAAGACAAAAGATGCTACAAAGAATCCCAATATTCTATAAAATTGAAGCACATTTTGTCGATCCACTCTCCCGAAGAAATTATTTTTGGGATACAGCAGTTCCATGTGGATCAGAAAACAGCCACAATGTAGTACAATTGAATCTTGACGAAGATAAATACTACATTCTCACACCAGACCCTACACTTTTGCAATCTTTAAAAAAGTTTTCACCAGAAAGCCTTAGAGCTATTGCCCGCAATCCAAATATCGATTTACAATTGATCGGCATATACTCGGAATCCGACATTCAACGCCACATACGTTTACAACAATTTCAAGAATTAATCACAAAAATGGACACTATACAACGACAATCCATAGATCAAAATCTACGCAAACTTGCAGAAACAGCAGGCTTTCCAGACATCTACGCACAAGACTACAGCGGATATTTTAAAGATATAAAAGATTACTTTTACTTAAATACCAAAAAATACAGACCACAAGAATTATCACCAATAAATTATTTTAGTTTTGTAAATCTGAAAAACTAACTTCTTGCCTTTCTAGGATAGCCCTATTACATCTTAGAAAGATTGACCATATTATACGCAATGTTTAATTTTTTGGATTTTTTTCTCTTTACTCAACGGAATCTACAATGCATGCGCAATACACACACAAGTAAACAAACAAGCAAACCTAGCACGCATAATTTTTGCAGGATTTTTTGGAAAATTGTCTACATCAATAAATAAAATATTTTAGAGGCTCAAGTAAAAGAATAAAATTCCTAAAACAAAACGAATACAACGCCTACGGCACCACAATTATAAAGCTTGAAGCATAACCATCCTTTATCATTTGTACCACGAAATTTCAGAAAAAAAGCCCTGACAGACCTCATGTCTACAAGACCTAATTACTCACAAAGCCCAATTCAACACATAATAACCCAACAACCCAATATAGAAGACACATACGAACAAGTTATAGAACAACCACATACCACTAACATTCGTTCTCAGAACAACCATCTTTTTATCTCACGATGAGCCGCCAAGTTGGATCACTCCATCGCTCAATTTCCTACCCAGCCAACCTTCAAAGCAACCTCCCCATCATCCCACTTTTTGCTTTCTCCCCACCTCAATCACCTCATGATAACACTTCATCTGGCATGGATTTAGATACTAATTCAAACAAAACTGTATATAATACTATTTCCAAAGTCAATAACTCCGATCTTGAGACCCTTGACGAATTTGAGATCTCCGAACCCAGCCCATCTACATTTTCCCAACCTACCTTTCAACCTCTCCACTCTCAAATAAAATTTGAACCCCCTTCCACTTCCTCCTCTATTTCAAATGTATCACCCACATATTCCCCCTTGAACAGTGAACCTTCCGACAACGACAGCTCTGTAAATACACAAATATCTCACGAGCTTGACAATTTCACCACACTTCAACAACAATTACAACACCCTCAAACACTAACCATTCACCAACTCTCACAATCATAATATCATCAAACCCATCAACCCTAACTCCCTCTTCAAATTACAACCCTTCGCAAGACCCAACTCCCTCGTCAACTCCATCCTCCAGTAAAAACCGAGCATACCAAACCTTTAAAAGAAAATTCCCAAATACTCCATTTCCCTCTCACCCAGGAACAGCCACAACATTTGTTAATCACCCACTCCACACTAACACTGAAGAATTTCTTCAAATATGGTTACCCTTTTCCCCCAATACACCTACTTTCATTCAGACGCTAATGACGAAAACCCTAATTATGCTAATGAGCACGTATTATACCCAATACTCTAATGGCCATGATTCTATCACTTCACTAATCCACTATCACTACCATTATACAACACCCCATATGATAACGAACGATTCAGCAATGAACTCTACCTTATAACAACAGCACTCACTCCAAAACAATTTACACAAATAGGATATAAACAATCACTTATCAGATTCACCGCACCCAAAAGTAACGAGTATTTCATCGATCACTACGACGATAACATCATAAGACCCAACGAAGACATCTTTCTGAACGACGACAAATTTGCTAACCCACAACTAACAGAAAAACTCTTCATTAAAACAACATACGTTTTCACCCTCAATACTTTATATAAAAAATACGACCACGTCATTTCAGCAGCACTTCAAGCTTATGATTCATACTTTAACAAATTTAACCTTTTTTCACTAACTTTTCATTTGTTCACACCAAAGAATGTGATTTGCACTGTTCACACGACGTCATGTTACGAACTAAACAGACACACACTTATACTTACAACAAGTTCATCCAACATCATTACACTCATAATACACCAGCACCACAAATTCATCACAGATATCAATACATTAACTCCAATTATACCTCTTCATTCTTTCTTAACTTCATTTTTTTTATTAAAGACACTAACCTGCAAGGCATCCTCCGCAATATGATCCCATCACCCAGATGTATTTATTCTGTCCCTTAACCTAAAATCTTCAAGGTAGACGAATCCCGCCCACTAATCGTCCCACACGAATTCCTACAGCACGTTGAAATCACGATCCTAGAATTCATCCATAACACCAGATATAATCATAAACTTTATAACCTCAATCAAAATACACCTTATGAACTCTCACCTAGCACTGAAGAGCAAAACATCATTAAAGCTTTGGCCACTTCTTCAAACTAAATACATCATTCGTTTGATAGCTAAATTACTAACATCATCAGAGATCATCCACGACGGTTTTTCTCCGCGGATTCTTCACAGACGAATAGGTAATATGAATTATATAATTTACTAATAAATTCGAGCAAAAACTAACCATTCTTTATAAAGGTTTTCTCTTTTTCTATAGTCTTCACAGGCACGATCATCAATCATCTACAAAAAAGAAAAACGAAATAAAAAACAGAAAACATTTTTCTATAATCATAAATTTCAATTAACCAGTTTCAATAAATGACGCAATAAAATTTTCCCCCAAAACAGCAAAAAATGTATAAATTCTTTTCCCACATGCAGTAAATATTCTTACAATGAGAATAAATTGATAATTTCAACCCCCAAAACAAAGCAGTAAAAGTAAAAATTCCAAAGTAGTATATTAATAAAAGTTGCCTAAGAAATTAAAGCAGTTCTAACTTTTTCAAAGACGCTTCTTCATAGTTTTAAGCATTCACTCGCCCACAATTCTATCCAATATCGCACAGCTAGCCCGCAAAGAATTGTTTATTATGATGTGTTTAAGTTTTAACTTTCACTGATAACAACTCTAACCAGTTTTAACACATTTCAAACTTTCCTTTAACCCTGTTGGAAAGGAATTATATAATAATCCAAACCAACCAACGCAAGCTTACTAAACACCACAAACCACAACCTAACAGGATGGCTAAGAAAAAAAACCCACGGTACCCAAACTGGATTAAAACCAGCTTAGAACTGGATAAATTATTCTTTTGAAGACTACTTTCAAGTCTGAACACAAAAGAACAAAACACAAAAAAGTCGAAAGACAAACTCAGAACAAACGTTTTGAATTTTAAGGAAAAGGACACAACCAAGACAAAAAAGGAAAAAACCATTAATAAAAAAAGGCACGAAAGGTTGAACACAAACAGGACCCTCCAAAAAAGAGAGCATGAATTTATACTCCCACTCCTGGCCTAACCCACCAGAGAGGACGTCCTGAGCATGCTCTATAGCCGGCCTAACCCACCATGCTACACCCACGCTTTGTGACTCACACTCTAATTTTGACGAGAGTTACTCAAGGGTGAGTAGCTCTTAAAATAAACCGAACTAAACAATAACGCTTTTGCGATAAAAATTAATACAAGATCAAAATTAACAAAGATTTGTATATGTAAATAATACAATGCAGTATATAGATAACATACAGCTCAAAGACGAGCAGCAAGGAATTTGACAACCCAATCACACTCCAAATACGGAATGGCAAAACACACCCGACATGCTGCCTACAGTCACTACACTCAACGGATTTAAAGTACGATTTGGCATCGCAGCAAAGGAAACCCATTGCGACCGAACAGTGGCCATCTCGATGTTCAAGTATACGTACAGATCCAAGTCACCAGGCACTTCATCCAAAGTCAAACTACATGCCACTCCCGAATGAGATTGGACCATTGCTAATCTCTAATCAACCAAATCAACAACCGATCAGAAATCATAATACGATCTCCCGAAACGATCGGGATAACAACTCTTCTTCCAAATAAAAAAATATGCTCGCAACTTCTAAAGAAAGACACCATCATCCATCCTCCACTACAATATAGCACTGAAGAACTAAAATTCTCTAAACCCCGGATGGGTGGAACCAGACCTAAACTAGAATTTATTATTTGATATTATTCTGATTTTTTATCTCAATATTGAATATAAAATATTGAATACTAACCAACCATACTCCATCATACTAACAACCAACTTATTTGTAAGTGTTGAAACTACTTGTAGTTTCAACACCAGAACAATTTGAATTAAGCTTAGAATACAGGTATTCTCGTTCTGGAACTAACTCGCATAAACCGTTGTACACTAGATCTGTTGAGACTAGGAAGTTGCACGAATCTATCCGGCCGAAAACAAGATAGCGTGACGAGCAGACGGTGTACCTTATCTGAAATAACAAAAGGATATAACTCATTACAATCGGCCTTGCTATGATTTTACATTTCGTTTTCATGCATAAATCCGAGTCAATTTGAAAGTATATATTTTTTGCAACATACTGCTAGAAATATGGTTTTGTTTTTTTTTCAAGCTTTTTTTTCAAACTAAATACTTTTTTGCTTTTTTCAAGTAAAATACTCTTTTACTTTTTCTGAAAAATCTTCTTTTTTTCTGAGGATTGCAGGAGCTGCAAATTTCGTAGGGCTCAATGCATTAGTCAAATACTGTTGTTTTGGTGTTGTTTTCAGGGCGACCTTATTCTGTTCAGTGCGGCGGATGTGTGTGAGAGGAGGGGGAGAGGTTTCAGTGCGAAGAGCGGAGAAGACATGGTGTTGGTGTTGATAGCCAGTCGTCCAGACAGGGTGGACCTCAGACAGACTATCCGGAACACATGGGCTAAAAAGGAGTCATACGACAACCTAACGATGAACTTCGTACTCCTCTTCGCCGTATGTTTTATTGCTTTTTATTAATTTTGTTTTTCAATTTGTCATACTTTAGGCATGATATAGTCAATGTTTCCTGGTGATTTGTTATGATGCAGTGTATGGTTTAGATTTGTCATTTCCAGATCCCCGTCTTTGCTGGATATCCAACAGGATAGAAAAATTGAGTTTTTTTTTTTTAAATCACTTTTTTTCAACTTTGGATTTTCCCTACAGGCGTCCAAATTTCTTCGATATCAAGTGTTTTTATTTTACAGTTCAAGATTTAAGGCAAGTTTAGAAAAAAAATTAGATTCTTTTGTTAGTTAGAGTTTCTGGTATCCTTTTTTGTTGCAAATTGACCATGTTTGAACATTTACGAAACTATGTCATTAACGAGAAATCGAGAAGCTTTTAATCGGTAATAATAAAGATTTTAATAAATTACATCAGCATTTAATCGATATTGCTCCGAATAAAAATATCCAACTGAAAAATATTGCTTTTTTTACGGACAACTGAAAATAAAGAAAACCATGCAATTATTAACCATATTATCTTCTTTGATCATATAAGAAAGTGACAAAATCTTTGCGCTCGCAGTGGTTTTTTTTTCCTCAACGCAAATATCTAATTTTCAACTATCTGAAGGCTTGATGCCCTGAGCTTTAAGTTTATAAAAAAATATATTTCCTAACATTAATGGTGCTATAATTCTATAATTTGACTCAGAGGCCATTCCAAATTAAAACGGAGAGCGAGCAATCTTTTTTTATAAGTTCATTATGTTTCAGAACTAGAAAAGAATCAATTTATGGATGGCAGTGGGAAATTTTAGGGCTTCGCCATGATAAGAGCAGTCTTGTTCAGTTTTAAAAGCAGGACAGGAAATTATAAATTAAGAGCCGTAGTGTTGCTTTTACTTCAGTGCGGCTTTGAAAAGGTTGACTTTCACCCGGCTCTAAACAGAGCAAATGATTACTTTAGGAAAATTAATGGAAGAAGGAATTATTCCACCTGCAATTTTACCATCTCCCCCGAAAGTTTCTTCCAATTAAAGAGAATTGTTGAAAGAAACAGAATTCAGTTGCTCAGTAACATAATTACTCATTAACAAAAAATCAAAGTTGCCCAGAAAAAAAAACTAAATTGAACAACAACTAACCAACTTAGTTCAAAACGTAGAAAAAACTCTATGAAATTCGCATCTCAATAAAATAGAAAGAAAATGACTTTGAGTTTCATAGTCAGTGTCCACGAAAACGAAAAAAAAAAATCGATTATATTGGATAAAAAATGATCTTTGTTGACTCGAAAAATTTCCAATCGATATTTTTTTTACTTTTGTGGACACTGACATTGAAATTCTACTATAATCTGTTTGATTGATGGAACTCCAATGCGGGAGACCCGACTCATAAACTTGTTGCTTGTCGGCCGAATGGCAAACCTTCCATTTTAGTTTGAAAAATTGGGATAAGAATTATAACCAGGGCGGCTAGCACGGTTCTCTGCTATTTGCCAAACAGCTCGTAGGGTAACGCGACAACATGCAGGCACCACAAAGATCTCGTTATTTAAGACAACTCTCAAACGTTAAGGAAAGAAACAACTCACAGGGTTTGAAAATTGATTAAAAATTTGAAAATTTTGATTTAAAGTTTCCCAGAGAGATAATTAGCTCTAAGTTTGTATTCAGCTTCGGTTATAACTTCTGTAGGCAAGCTCGCAATATTTGGTGCGACTTCAACGATGAGTATTTTACGAGTTGACTTTTATTGCGAGTTCTCTTCTGTTGCAATTTTTCGTATTACGAGCTCGAATGTTTATCCTTTCCTTGAGGATTTACTTCCTTTTTGTAAACTTAAGTTTGAGTAGACTTTGCTGTTGCTTCTTCTTCTTCTTCTTCTTCTTCTGCTTCTTCTTCTTCTGTATGGGAGCCGAAGCGTGCTCAGAGGCAGCGCTTCGCCAGCTCGATCGCCTTGATCGGATCGTCGGTAAGGACTGAAAGCTCGGTGTTGGTGTCGCCAAATATGGATTGTCGGGTCCTGAGAGTTGCTGGACATTCGAGCAGCCAGTGTTCCAGGGTTTGGTTATATTGGAAGCATTTTGGGCATCTTGGGTCTGTTGTTGGGCGCATAAGGTGGCGATACGCAGCCAGTTGCATGCTGTGCTCCGCTCTCAGTCTCGCTAACATGACAGCGTCTCTTCTATTGGTCAGCGTTTTCTCGTCCTTGGCGATAGAGTGGTTGGCGTACACAGCTGCTGTCCTGGCGTGGGAGGGCAGTTTGTCTTTCAGGGTTCCTTTGATTACTGCTTTGGCGGCTTTCAGGCTTGTAGGTTGGGCGTCGTCTTTGAGTTCTGTGGCTTCGCTGGCAAATTTGTCGGCGAGTTCGTTCCCGGGAATGTCCATGTGGCCGGGAACCCATTGGATGTCGATGTGGCGGTCCATGGCATCCAGCCGACGGCACAGGGAGGCAACATCGGAGCTTTCATTGTCCAGAGCAGCGATCAGAGACTGGGAGTCGATGCAAATCAGTAGCTTGTCGTGCTCTTCAACGGTGTTCTTTTCCAGCCACTTGATTGCGCTATCCATGGCCTCTTTCTCTTCTTCATAGGAAGATGTGATGATCCTTCCTTTGGTTTTTATCTTGTCGATCGTGACCGGATTCTCCGGGTCACCTTGGGTCACAACCATCGCAGACCCGCCAAAGTGGGTACCTTCAGAGGCTGATCTATCTGTGTAGATCACCCACTTGGCCTCACTCTCGCGGATGACTCGGATGGCTTCGGTCCTGGCATCAGTTCTGTTGCCACCAACCAGTGTTGAGCACACAGTCCATTTCCTCGGGTTGGCGGTCCACAGGTACACAGTAGGGCCAGCAAGCGGTTCTCGGGGGGTTAGTCCTTCTGGGAGTGATGCCTCTAACCTCTTGCTGCTCTCACGCCAGCTGTATGGCAGAGTCTGTGTCTCTGTTCTCCTTCGAGAGCGAGGCGTCTCGGGTGGTTCGGAGGACATCTGAACGCTTTCTCCCTGGAGGTGGCTATCAGCTGCCGGGAGATTGTCTCATAGCTGGACTGGCCCGCTTCGATGCGGAGGGCTTCCACAGGAGAGGAGGCGGTCTGGCCGGTGATGCGACGAAGAGCTTGGTTCTGCGCTCTTTCCAAGCGGTCCATTTGCGTCCTGGAAATCCACGGCTGCCAGGCAGGGGCGGCGTAGTCCAAGATGCTGCGCTGCGTTGCCAGGTAGACGCTGCGCATGGGGCGCTTCTTCCATCCCCAGCCAGTGTTGCCAAGGCAACCTAGGAGGTTGCAGCGTTTCTCGACTTTCCTAACAACATATTCAACGTGTTGTTGGAACGAGAGGGTCCGGTTCATGTAGATGCCGAGGAGCTTTGGAGCTGGGTCGAACTTCATTGGTAGGTTGTTCATGTTAAGGGACGGGACCCACTTGTAGTCACAGGACGCTGCCGAGAAGAAGGTGACGACACTCTTGTCGCTAAGGAGCATCTTCTTACTGCGGCACCAGGACTCGATGTGCTTAACTGCTTCTTGGACTCTCCACTGAGCGGTCTTCTTGTTGTGGTCGCTTGCCCAGATCGTGAGGTCGTCTGCGAAAATTGAGTTCAGCACATCTTTCGGAATGACGTCGGCTACGGAGTTAATGTAAAAGAGGAACAGCATAGGAGATAATACTGCAACTTGTGGGACTCCGTGGATCAACCAACGGGTTCTGCTGAGGCTACCATTAAACAGGACGCGGAATTGTCGGTTTCTGAGGAAGGCCCAAATCCAGCGGATGAAAGACAGAGGGACTCCGCTCTCGAACCAGCATAGCAGGAGGTCCTCTTTCCAAACCTTTTCCCAAACCCAAAGGTTATAGAGGCGGTGAAATATCCTCCTCTCCAGTAACTTCACAATGCAGGAAGTTAAACTGACTGGCCGGTAAGACTCGATACTATTAGCAGGCTTGCCGGACTTGAGCAGCGGGATGATGACCGCATTACGCCAGACTTGGGGGACAACTCCCTCTCTGAACGACATGTTGAAGACGCGGAGGAGTTCAGTCTTGGCATGGTTACCAATGTTCTTCAAGAAGGTCGGCGGGACCTCGTCGGGGCCGGCTGCTCCACGGTTCTTCATCTTTTTCAGGACACGATTCAGGTCGACTATCGAGAAGTCTGCTGTGGTGCTGTCGTCTGCACTAGGGCTGTTCACTGTGCGTTTCGCAAGGTGAATCCTGCTTCTTTCTTCTGCCGAGAAGCTGATTTTGCTGACTTTGGCGTAATGAGCCATCTGCCTTGGAAGTATTGCTGGTCAGGATCTTGTCTCCGACCCTTATAGCTTCTTTCGGGCTACAAGAGTCCGGGCTACCGCTGATGGCACCAAGGACGCGCCAGGTCTTCGCGTAGTCCTTTTGGTTTTCCAGCGTTTCCACAAATTCTTTCCAGCTCTTCTCTTTCTCTTGTTCCACGGCCGAGGCAACCTCACCACAAGCTGCAACCCTTTCTTCGCGGCGGGTGTGGACGAGCTTCCGGAGGTTGTTCCTCTTCTTCACAAGAAGGCGCACTCTGGGGGACAAACCAACTTTCTTCTTTTTGCCAGGTTTGGTTTTCCCGACGTGGGCTTTGCCCACCTCCGTGATGGCTTCCGTGAATCTCTTCGCGCTGGCTCTGACGGTAGGGAGGATTTCCCAGAGGGCGACTTCCGACTCTAAGGCGTCGTTGAAGGCGTTCCAGTTGACGTTCTTCGTCTTCCAGCGCGCGGGTTTCGGAGCTTGAGGGAACAGTCCTACTCTGTAGCGCAGGGTGATCACCATTGGTAGGTTGTCAGATCCTAGACACTCTCCCACTGTCCATTCAGTTCTGGACCTCCAACGGGTGTGGACGAGGAAGTTGTCGGGCGAGCTCCCTCCTGTTGTCCCTCTGTTAATACGGGTGGGGGTACCGTCGTTGGCGCACAGGAGGTCGTTGTCTGCCGTCCACTCCTCAATGCGGTCCCCTCTGCTGTCCTGGGGTTGGTGCAGGTCTCAGAGGCGGGAGTGGGCGTTGACATCCCCTCCGTAAAAGCAGTCGACGCCGGACGGGAGATTGTCGAGGACGAGTAGTTCTTCAGTGTTTACTTCTCTGTTGGGGGGATGTAGATGTTTGTTACATTGATCCATTTCTTCTTGGAAAGGCGGTATCTGATTGAGCATGATTCCACATTGCCGGTTTGGCAATTCCAGCACTTGCGGGACTCAAACGCGACGTCTTCCTTGATGAAGGTCAGCAAACCGCCTCTGACTTTGCCTCCTGGACGGTCTACTCTGATGCAACTGTAGCCGTCGATCTTGGGGTTCTTGTCCTGGGCTCTGAGTTTGGACTCCTGGATGATCGCAACGTCTATGTTTAGCTCCTTGACTCTGGCAGCGAGCTCCTGCATCTTCAGTTTGATGCCATCTGCGTTCCACTGTAAGATGCGAAGGGCTTCCTTGGATGACTTGCCGCCATTGCGGGCGCGGTCTTCCAGTTCGCTGAAGTCCGGACTGGGGGCGGGTGCGGGTTTGTCGCATGCAGCGCAGTCCCAGTCAGTTCCGGCGGCAAAGAGATCTACCTCGTCTCTGGTGTGGCCTTGTTTGACTACACACGCCTGGTGGAAGCGGCCTCGGCACTTCGGGCACTGGATCCCTGGAATGTTGCTGGCGATTGTCTTCTTGCAGGCTTTGCAGGTTCTCTTCTCAACGGGTTGAGAGGGCCCGGCCTGGGTGAGGCTGCTCGCGTCTCTGCCGGCAATGGTCCTCTTGTCTGGGCTGGTTGGTGCGGAGTGGGAAGAGCACAACCAGATTTCAGGTGAGTACCTGGAGAGATTGCTGCAGCTTTTCTTCAGGTGACACTGAGCTGAGCAGCTGTCGTCCTCGCAGGACAGGGACCGTTGTATGGCCCTGAAGGCTCTCTTACATACTGCGCAGTTTGTGGGAAGTGGGGAGGGCACTGTGCTGACCACGGGAGTAGTAGTGCGACCGCCATGTTCTGTGCATTTCCACTCCTGTGTGGTACTGTAGCGCGAGACACTGCTGCACGCTGTCTTCTTGTGGCATCTTGCTGTACTGGTGGTGGTGGCGTAGGGTCACACTGCAGTGGTGGCATTGGATGGGACCGGGGTTGCTTTCGATGTCTCCAGCTTCTAACAAGCGGCAGAGGTCATGTGCTGGAGCCATGCCTTTGCCTCCCAAAAACCCGGCGACGGGTGAGTTTCTTCCAGATCGCTGATCTGTCTCGGATGGCGATATCCACTGATGAGGAGGTTTCGTGTTGAATCCGGCGCACCTCGTAAAGGTACTCCTCTCGGGCCGGTTGCAAACGTTAAGGAAAGAAACGTAAAGGAAAGAAACAACTCACAGGGTTTAAAAATTGATTAAAAATTTGAAAATTTTGATTTAAAGTTTCCCAGAGAGATAATTAGCTCTAAGTTTGTGTTCAGCTTCGGTAGTAACTTCTGTAGGCCAGCTCGCAACATTTGGTGCGACTTCAACGATGAGTATTTTACGAGTTGACTTTCATTGCGAGTTCTCTTCTGTTGCAATTTTTTGTATTACGAGCTCGAATGTTTGTCCTTTCCTTGAGGATTTACTTCCTTCTTTGTAAACTTAAGTTTGAGTAGACTTTGCTGTTGCTGTTTTGGGGAGATGCACTGACCAAATTGTCTTTAAGGGTTTGTATTTTGAGGCAAAGAGCGAGGAGGAGTTTATATGTTGAACAAATTTGTTAAAGAAAAAAAAATCAGATTCAATCAAAGTAATCTGATTTTTAAACATGCGACCTTGGAAAATTTATAAACTTTGTTAAATTAGTTTTTGCGTCCTAACAATTTTTATCGTTGATTTGTTATAGTTAAACAATGATTTTTGTTCTAAATTTTTGTCCCAGCTCCGCATTCAAAAGTATTAACGTAGTTATGATTCAAAGTCATCAAAACAAAACTAAATCTAAAACATATTCAGAAGAATTTTTCGTTGGATGGTTGGTAAAAGTTACCTTCTGAGAAAAAATCGAGTTTGTCGTTTTCTAACCATTTACAAATGAGTCGTTGCAACTCATTTTGGACTATAAGTTCAATGGACTTAGTTCATTCTGACATAAATGGTAAGAAACAATTTAAGCTCATGAGCTTAAATTGTTTCTTACCATTTATCTCAGAATGAAATTTTCTTTTTTATGCAGGTCAATTTACCAGATGACTCATCGGGAAGTCGTCGACTGGAGTCAGAAGCGAAGTACAGTCGTGACATCATAGTTGTGAACTTGAAGCCAGAGTACCATCTTCTCACAGTGCAACTACTCATGGCACTGCAGTGGGTGAACCAGAGCTGTCCGGATGCCAAGTATGTGTTGAAAGTTGACGATGACACCTATACACACTTGGGAGCCATGGACAAATTCATACGATTAATGGAGTTGCAGAAACCAACCAATGTACGCTGGAAATATATGAAATCCTTTTTCAATTCAAAATTTAATTCAATTTAAAATTAATAAAAAAAAATTTTGCTATGTTTTTTAAGGTAAATTACTTTCTGGAGGAAATAAACTTTAATGTTATGACAAGCAAAGTGGGACAACTGGACAGCGTAACTTTAATATAATTAGCAAAATCTGACAGTGAAAGTCGTAATAATGATCTTTTTAAAGTTAAAGATCTCTACACTTGTGATAATGCTCAATTTGTAAGTTTTCTTTTGTAATTGTCAAAAAATACAACAAAAAAACAAAAACATTGTTGTTATATACGACCAAGTTAATGTTTGCTCAGTGGTTGCTTCATTCGGCAGTTGCCTATTAGAAGGCTCTCAAGTTGTAGTAAACTGTAAATGTATGGCAATATGGCTATTAGAGTCTTGTGATGTCACTTGAAAACAAAATTTTTTATGTTAAACTATGAATTTCTGGCTTAAATGCAAATTTTAAAGACTTAATGAGTGTTAACTTTCTCAAATTTTGTTTGACCGAGTAAAAGTTTATAAAAACTGTTTAAAAAGTAAACTCAGTAAACGTGTTGCATTATTAATTCGGATTCATAAAAGCGATTTAAATTTTACCCAGCTTTACAGGAAATAAAACCTTCCAAAAGTATTTTAATTTATCGAAAAAATTCAATCAAAGTCATGAATGTTTCAGGCGAGTGGATTATATGGTGGGAACTGCTTCAAAAATGCAACGGTACGTTTCAGAAATGCCAAAAGGCCCTCAGAAAAACCTAAATGCAAAGTTCAACTTGAAAAACGATTTCAGATCTCTTCTGTGTGTTTACATCATTTTACGACATAATTTTAGATCTCTGTGCTAAAAACCGAAGAAAAAAAGTTTTTGAAAGGTGACCAAAAAATGCTATGAAGAAGAGTTAGTTACTGTAATATTTCCGCAAAAAGAGCCACGTGATTGGTTTTCAGGTGCTACGAAAAGGTGACAAAATTCCGAGGACGTACAAGAAATGGGTGGTGTCCCATGAGCAGTACAGCGAGAAGATATTTCCCAGGTACTGCAACGGACCCGCCTATTTCTTCTCCACCTCCCTGCTGCCCCAGATAACCGCCAAATGTCCATTCCACTGCACAGGATTCCCGGAATCACAGAATTTCCTGAACTCAAGTCAGAACCCGGGTAATAGATCAGGATGTTTCTGGGACTGGGAAGACGTATTCTTCGGGTCCTGTATCAGTACATTTGAAAAGCAACCATATACAAACTTTGAGGGTCAAAATTATTATCTAGCAGGAATGCCCAAAGTTAAAGATTTAGACCCGAGTAAACCTTACGAAGCTATTCATCCAATCAAAAGGCCTCGCGCCCTGAATGCTATTTATAAGAAATATTCAGTTGTTTTAGTTAATGAACAAAAGACAAAACTTTCCGAAGGTGCAAATAAATCATCCCTTTTTTCATCAATGTTAACTTTTTGATTATACAAATTTTCAACCTCAGAATAGAACAATTTTTGTCTCTGATGAAAGTTTTCCAAAGCCATTTTGAGAACAGAGAATCACTACCCGTACTGAAGCTACTCGGATAAACATAAATTAAGCTAACAATTATGAAATTATGAAAATGTTACCAAAAATGCGGCCATTATAATTGATAGAATGTCACAAATTTCGGCAACACTTTCTATTATAATAGCTAGAAAATGGGTTATTCTCATATCGATTATAAAGCGTAATAGTTCCACTAAAATCGTTTTTTTTCCACCATATAGTATCAAGAAAATCTATTTCAGTGTCCAAAAAAACTCCAGAAAATCTATTTCACAATATGATTCATTGAAAGGATGACTTTTCATTTTAAATTTGAAAACAAGAGCAGCGAACATGAATCATTCGAGCCCTTTTTATTTTTCAAATTTGAATCAATCTCAAGGCAGCAAAAATGAATCATTTAAATTTTTCAAAATTCTGATAATATTAGTTCTCAAACAATTTAAGGCAACAAATCATAAAATCAAGAGCAAACTCAATGAAGCATTGAGATTGAGAATATGAATTAAATTTAAAAAAAAACAGCAAACTGTAAAATATGATCCTTTCCGGAGTTAAGGAACCGCTCAAAAGTCGAAAAAACTGGCTGACAAAAGTCAACAAGGTCTTTGAAAAAATGAGAAAATCACTCCCGTCAAAAACTCCTGGGCACTAAGATTTATGTTTCTAGGTCTTCAATCATTCGAGCCCTTTTAATTTTTCAAATTTGAATCAATCTCAATGCAGCAAACATGAATCATTCTAATTTTTAAAAATTCTGATAATATTAGTTCTCAAACAATTTAAGGCAAACAACAAATCATAAAATCAAGAGCAAACTCAATGAAGCAAGGAGATTGAGAATATGAATTAAATTTAAAAAAAACAACCGCAAAAAAAGTCCATATTTGCAAGATATTTTATAAAAACTTCTGATAATGTTTAATTCCAAAATAATTTAAAGCAAAAATTGAAATATCAACACGTAATTAAACCAAAGATAATGGATTATTGCGATCATTAATTAACTAAAAATTGTAAAAGTATAAATAATGGAGCACTGCAACCACAAGTTAACTACAAATTGCCAATAAAATCATTTTTTGCTTAAAGTTTTCTGATGATTTTCAGTTCAAAATAATTTAACGCAAAAAATTTACAATTGACCAATGACATTGCACCATGAGCTAATATACTGAAATTAAAGATTTGAAAACAAAATTTTAGTACTTGAAAAAGTTTGGTAAAACTTGAACCTACTAGTGAAAAGCTTTTAGTATCGCAAAGATTTGTATTTTGTTTCAAAGCAGAAAATATTGCATACAATTAGTCCTATTTTTTACGAGTTAATGTGCAAAAAAATATAATGGCGTTTAATCTACAAAATATACGCTTTATGGGACTATATAAAGAAAAAGTAAAAAAATTTTATTGTGATTTTACGGAAAATATATTATAAAAAGAAAAAATAAATTCTAGTCCCAATATAGTTGACACAAATAAAAAAAATTTAAAAAATTTTGGGTCATAAAATCGTTTTTCATCTTTGAATTTAGTGTTGTCATATGATTGATAGTTAAAGGGTTAAATATATTTTTGAATGTAAAATCGCCAGATGTTTGATTATTAACAGATAACTGGAGACATTTTGTTGCGGATGAGAATCCCAAACTTTGGAGCAACACTACATGATTTAACTTACTGAAAAATCTTTGATTAGACCAGAATATATTGATTTGTAAACAAAATGATCAACCATCCAACACAAATTGATAATAATAACATACATATCCTTTGCTCTTTTGAAAATGATTGAACTTGAGAGTTTTTCCCAGAATCAGCTTAGCACGTTCTTATATTAATACAATTTATTTCATAATTTATTAGTTTGAACTGTCACTCATTCGATGTTTGTCCAACTCTAAATTTTTGTAGAGGCATCTTTGGCGACAATATGTAATACTTTTGAAGATGAGCACGCGCCAAAACAATGCAATTTCTTAGACAAACAGTTCCAAAATTTTCCCAAAAAGGGCGGTTTTTTACTTGTACTTTCAGAGAAAAAATGCCTCAGTCATTCTGAAAAAGAAACCATAATGTTTTTTAAAAAGAAACCCCAACCCACGAGAAAATCCCATATCAGCCACCGGGCCACAAACATGGCTTGCAATTAGCTTGTAACCAGTTTGAGCTTGTAATTTGCAACTTTCTACGTGTTTTTGCTTTAAACACTCCAATACCCAACAAAAAAATTAACCAAACTCTTCGTTAGATAATGAGCCAAACCGACCAAATTTATGTGCTATATTGAATAGCCCCGAAGCGTATAAGCCAATATGAGCCTTGTTGGAAAAAAAACTATCAGCAAACCAGTACTTAGCTATTTTTTCCAGTACTTGGCTAAATTTTTTAAACTCTGACAAGTTTTAACAAACGGATTATTTAACTTTTTGGCCAAGAGTTTTAAAAAATTGTTAACAAAGAGTTCATTTTTTGAAAATTCTTTTTATCTATTCTAATTTCGAGAACAAATTTTTTAAATCTAAGCTTATTCTAAACAGAATTAAAGTCTTATCTGGATACAATTTGTTTGACCTCATGAGCTCTACTAAGCCAAACTGTAGTTTTTGTCTTTGTATGTTGTTGCCACAACTGTTTTTTCGTTCTTGTTTTATTCCGACCATTGAAAATGGAGATAAACTCTGTATTTGGGCGTGTTTTATTTTTTTTTCACTCAAAATCAGGCAATATGAGTTGAATGATAAATTATAGTAAACCCTCCTAGTCGTGTTTCGATAATCATTACAAAATTTTAAATTTAAACATTTTAAGTCCAAGTATCGAGAAAAAAGATTCAATATGAATTCATTACAGTCCAACTTCACGCGAAGAATGGGAGCAAGCATCATTAAAAGAGTTTACTTATGCTTAGCTTAAGCCAAAAAAATTAATTAACTTAAGTCAATTGGAACAAAAAAAATTAAAAATCAAAATTTTCTGCAAATAGTTGCAAAATTCTCAATATTTTTTATTTGTTTCTTAGTTCTTTTTTTTATTTTTCTTGTTAATTTTTTTCTATCAAAACTGTTGTCCACTTTGTGCATTGTACTCTGACTGTGGAGTATGCTTGAGTTTCAATTTTTTACTTGGAGCCTTCCATCACACCACGCAGAAATAAAAAATACAATTTGAGAAAATAATTTGTGTTTTTAAGACTAACAAGACTGCTCGTATCAGGGCCAAGCCCCGAATGTTCCAACTGCATTTTGAGGTTTATAGAGCAGTGATAACAAAAAAAATTAATCGTAAAAAAATGAAATGAAAATTTTTTTTTTCTAAAATTTGAAATTTTTTATGAAAATCATCCCCCCACGCGCCATATAAAGTACAAAAGGACAGATTTCGCTCCTTGTAACAAATCAATTATGGCAAATAAGATTCTTTCAACCAATTTGGAACTATTTTTTAAGACGGATTAATTCTCCGCTTACGCGTTAATAGCGCGAAATTTATCGCGCGTTAATTGTCCCAAATTGGCCAAAATGGCAATCTTTAAACCCCCATAACTTTACAAAAAATGGTCACAGGTGAACTATCTTTTCAAAATTAAGCTCAGAACAACAATAGCTTTCGAATGATATTTAAAAACTTCCGTCAAAAATGGCTAGTTAAAAAGTCGAAATTTGTCTGAAGAAAAAAAAACCCACCCCGAGCACAAATATTCCGTTACTTTCGTATCAAAAGTCGGAACAATAAAATTGGAACATAGAGCTATTCGTCCAGTTACCGGCTATCCATGATTAATGTTTGATCTCAGACACACACATCAAATGATTCGTGTTACAAAAGTGCAGTTTGGTCTCGTAATGACTACTTGACATCCGAGTCAAACGCTGAGCCACAAACTTTTAGCGTTCTGAAAAGTTATAGCAAATTAATTTAAATAAAATTTTGATAGCTTAAAAGTAGCCAACAACTCATATTTGCTTCTAAAATAAGCAAGTATTGATTGAGCGGTGATTTGATCTTACAATTATCTAGAGTTTGTTTATTTCTGATGTTAGATGAGAAATAGATGACTTTGTACATAAACTCAAACTATTAGTTAACAATATCCATGGAAATGCTTCTATGGATTTTAGAAGTTTTTTTTGGTTAAATGTTGTCATGAGTTATGCAGTACAAATGAGACAGAGCGGGCCCACTTAAAAGAAATTTTAAGCAAACAAAGCAATCAAATAAAGCAGTAGACGCTGCTCGGTTGTCTCAAAACCCCGGGTTGACCTCCATAGACCAAAAATGCTAATCATACAATTCCATAAACTAAGTCTATGAAAAAAAAACTAATCATACAAATTTCATACATTTTGCTAAAATGGCGCCGTCGAATTTTCAAAAAAACCTTCTCTTATTTCGGCATAAAAATCGGTGTATTGTACTACATAAAAAAGAAAAACTTTTTTTTTTCAACCGCAAATTGAATTTCGTACTCAAATAAACAATTTTTGAAAAAATTTTTTGCATGCAAAGATAATTTTTTGTGTGTATAACGTAGTCCTGGATTTTTTTCTTTTTCTCTTCATAACTTCTTTCAAAAACTCCTCTTTTTTTTGTATGACATGTTTTTCTATGCCTTGATCAATGTCTGGTAATTTAAAAGTTCAAATTTTAGAAATAATCATCTTTGAAAATGTTTGCCAAAATTTAAACGTTGGTTAATTTCGTTAAATTATTTGTGTAAGACAGAATTAAAACATTTTAGGCTGTTTCCAATGCCTATTTAATGCGAGACCGCCAAACCTTAGGTTACTACTTTTGAGTAACCAAGGATTATGTCATTTGTGTTCGGTTACGAACACAACCAAAAAATTTGAGAAATTAAAATGTAAAACATCAATATTTTTGGTTTATGGAAAAATGCTAGTCATACAATTTCGATATATGAAAAAATACGAATCATAGACCTTTCATGCAATTTTCTGTTCTTATGGAATTGCATGAATAGTTCTTATGGAATTGTATGATTAGCATTTTTCCATATATGAAATTGTATGACTAGCATTCTTGGTCAACCCGGGACTCTTTCTAAAACATATTTAACCTCTTTCATATGGGCTAAACATTGGATATCGCAGTAAATTGAAACATTTTACATTAAAGACCCTGTTGATTTCTTGGGACAACTCTATCATTCATCTTTTATTTGAGAAGGCTAATTGATAGAGCTGTTTTTTTCTAAAAACGTTCTTTTAAGTCCAAAATGATTAGTTTGAAGTCATTTGACTCTTAAGATTAGAGAAAACGTTTTATGACCAAAACGATTTAAGACCAAAACGATTTAAGACCAAAACGTTGTATGGTTGTGTTTTTGTTTTTGTTTTTTTTTTTCACGCAAAATCAGGTAAAATAAATAATCATTGGAGTTGGTTGAGTGGCAAACCATAACAAGACTGCTCGTATCAGAGCGAAGCCCTGAATGTTCCGACAGCCTTTTAAGGTTTATGGAGCAGTAGTAACATAAAAAAATTAAATGTAATAAAATAAAATGAAATCTTTTTTTTCTAAAATTTGAAATTTTATGTGAAAATCATTCCCCCACGCGCCATATAAAATACAAAAGGATAGATTTCGCTACTTGTAACAAATCAATTATGGCAAATAACCAATGTGGAACGATTTCAAAGACGGATTAAATATATCGCGCGTTTATTGTCCCAAATTGACCAAAATTTCAACCTTTAAACCGCCATAACTTTACAAAAAATGATCACAGGTGAAATATCTTTTCAAAATTTAAGCTCAGGATAGCAATAGCTTTTGAACGATATTAAAAATTCCGTCCAAAATGGCTAATTAAAAAGTCGAAATTTGTCTGAAGAAAAAAACCCAACCCGAGCACAAATATTACGTAACTTTCGTATCAAAAGTAGGAGCAATAAAGCTTTTTCAGTCGTGATTTGAAATTTATACTCCCTAGCGCTCTTAGAATTTTTACTATTGCAGTATTTTCATGCTATTTTCTTTAAAATCATTATGAGCATTTTTGGTTAAATTCTGTAAAATCTGCAGAAAATCAACGACAAATCAAAAAAAGTTTTTTTTGTCAACTACTTTTACGCCAGAAGAAACATAAGTTCATTATCACTTGCTATTTTGAAGTGTATCACAGAAAAAACAACCGTACAAGTAGTCCAGGATGTTCAAACCACAGCAAATTATGAGAAAAATGATCTAAAAAGTTTAAAAAGTAATAATCTTAGGGTTGAAAACTCAATTGATTGCAATCACGAAGATTTCAGCGATGTTTGAATATCGAACCTTTTCAAAAATTTTAAAAATTGAAAATTGAATTGAGTTTTTCCCGAACTGAAACGTTTTTGCAATGTTTTTTGAATCCTGCGTTATGTGTAAAAAACTTCACTTTTGGCCACGTCTGACGATAATCAATATTAATGATTGCGGTTTTTTGGCGCGCGCTTGCCTTCAAAATGATTAAATAAAGGCGCCTTCCGAAAAAAATTATTGTGGGTCAGCCAAAATTGGATGTTCTAAAATAGAACCAAAGGCAGTGTGTCGAATGCCTGAGGGTTTTTTCAGGATTTCACGATAGATTAGGGACTCTAAATTTCACAGAAAGAAATGACTCTATTATCACGCTTAATAATCATGTAGTTTCGGCCTACATCAAAACGATCTTGAAAAATCAAGCAGCGCTCTTCTAAATCTGATTCTCACGACAAATACTTCGCAGAACAAAATCCATGTTTTATGCATTACTTGACACAACAAAATCTTATATCAAGATTTGAATAACCGAATTGCCGCTGGTTTAGTGCGCTCACTTGTTTGTACTTAATTAATTCGAAGAATATATGGAAATCTTTCAATTTTTTTCCCTAATTGAAATCTTTCGAACTTTCAATACGTGTGTTTTTAAGGGTAATAAACGACTCAAGTTGGTCAGAAGAGATTGAGCATTCAATTAAGGGATTCAATATATGAGAATGACATTTATTATTGAATAAAGTCGATGTTTTTCTCAAGATTTGGTCCGGATCTTTTTGGTATTTTGGTATTAATCCAAGAAATGAGAGTTGACTCAGATTAATTCACTGGAAATTACTTGTCGTTCCAGTTTCATTGACGCCAGTTTTAGTTGGAACCCAGATTCTCAAAGCTCGTAAGAAAGCATTTCGGAACACTGAGCCGCTTATCATGTAGAACAGCAGATTCATAGAATTGTTCAATACTCCCACGATATCGCCTAGGCTCTTTTTCATTTTCAATTGTTGTTTTTCAATAGAAAACTGTTTGTGAGATCGCATTCCGAAAAAAAAACGTTCTGTTTGTGAGATCGCATTCGGAAAAAAAAGCAAGAAATCGATCCTAAAAATGTGGATATCATTTATGGGGAAAGGAAAATCAGCTTTTTAGTACAATTCTGTTTATTTAAATTACAAGAGGCTTTTTCATTTCAAAATGTTAAGAAGTTGGAAAAAGCACTGTTGTTAATTTTAACTAGAGTAAGAACAACATTTGTGTTCTATGCAAGAAAAAATGAAAAAGAGCTTCACCCAATCCAGAAAGGAACTTAGCAAATCCAGTGTGGCCTTTGTCGAAATTTAGAAACTCAACCTCCGTTTTTTCGCCGATTGCGAAACTGACGATGTTGATAGACCCGATTGTGATAGATGCACTCGTGCACGCCAAAGTCATCATGAACAGCATCAGTGTATAGCTTCTCTGGTTATTTTGAGTTTTGGATACTTTCTCCATTTTTTTGGGGTCTTTATTCGCGCCATTTGTATCCTTTTTAATAGCATTCGTCGTGTTCGTTTTTCGTTGGTTGAGCGATTGCACGAAGACGACATTCGCTACAACGAAGATGGCATGTGGCAACACCAAATTCATTCCGAACGTGGAGATTCCTATGAGCCATTTCATCGCAACCGGTAGAAGTCGGCTGTGCTCGGCAAATCCGCATTTCCCGTTCTCCTGTTTCCCGAAAACGTACAGTCGTGGGGATGACCAAAATAAACAGAACAGAATAATGGAGGCTCCCATGATTCCGACAACTTTGCTGGTTTTTGTGGCCATGTTATTTTTGTGCCAAATAGGAGTCATGATTGCTATCATTCGGTCCAGGGCCATAGCCAGCACGTGATACATTGCAGTCATACGAACACCCATGCAACACATTTTGTATATCTTGTAGATGAGCGCCTGAAATATCCAAAACATACACAGTTGATAGGTTCCGGCTGTTTTTATCAACCTTAAATGGAATACTTCATTGTGCTTAGTTCCTGATCAAGATCTTTTAGAAAACAATTTTTCAGTGACTATGCTTGTTGCATATCATAAAACACAAAATGAAGATAATGTTAAATGCAAAAACCACACTTAAGAACTAACGTTTTGACAGGACCATCCAATTCCCAAAATTCGAATCAAGCCATGGTCGATCAGGTTGTAGAATAGAGCGGCCGAGTCCCAGACAGCGAGATGTCGCATGAGGATGGAGGAGACCGACTTGGCCCTGGGCAGGGAGAGAGAGGTCTTGAAACAGAGAATATTGAGTCCAATTCCAATGATCGAGCCCACACATACCACTGCATAAACATAATGGGTAATTTTGTCCCAGTCGAACAAGTCCTTGGCCGCGTGCTCAGTTTCTTCAGTGGCGTCGTATAAATCATCAGCAGGCTTTGTGTCTGACAAGTTCATTGTTTTTGCCACGAGAAATCCGATAAAACTCACAAAATCTGTTTCTGAAACGTAACCTGAAATTTTTCATTTCTTGAAAAAAAAATTACACTGTTTTCGTCAACAGTAAAAAGGAGTTTGGTTTTTGTACTTTCGCACACGAGACTTACGATATTCGTTTTGGAATTTAACTAACTTCCAAAAACTTACTGCAATTGTTCTTTTTTTTGAAAAACAGAAAAAGTTTTGTATAACTAATGGTATCAAAGAGAAGCCCTGAATGTTTCACCCGCGTCCAGCTTCAAGCGTTATTAATCGATTATAATATGATTTTAGCACCATTAGTACCAGTCATACTAAAAATGAAAAAAAATTGATTTTAAATTATCAATAATTGATTATAATCTCAATTTTTCAAATCAAATATAATCACCATAACACAATATAATTGATTATAATGGATCATTTTCATCCGAACTCCTAATTCATTTGTTTTGCAGAAAAAATCCATTGTAATTGATTATAATCGTTTATCATCCCTTTTGGTTCCCATTTTGTCTTCGACCTTGCACCTTATATTTGCTTATATTTTCTGCTTTTTGCAGACGTTGGCTTATGGGAAAAAGGGAAAACTGTTTTAACACTTTTCAAATCAATTGAGATTTCAAACGTTTTTATTTTTTCATTTTTTCTTGATTAGAGTTGTTTCTTGACGCACATTTTAATTTTTTTTACCATCAAAACATCAGCACACTGCTTTAGCTTCAAGATTTAGTTGGAAGAGTTATATTTCACCTACCGCAGGATCCTTTCACCTAATTTGAAGGGATCTTTATGAAACAAAGTGTTACAAGACATCTCATTTTTTGAGAATTTGGACAGAGAAAAAGATAATAGTTTATTATAACAGATTATAATAGATTATAAGCGATTCTAAGAGGCTATAATAAATTATAAAAGATTATGAGAGATTTTTGCAAAAATTGTAATGCATTTCAATTGATTATATTTTATTATTATGTCGCAAACAATTTTATCATTATAATTGAATCTAAATTGTTTAAATATCTAAAATTGGCGCATACAATTCATTATAATTTTGATAAAAGTTCCATTATAATTGTAATATAATCGATTGTTTTCTCGTTTCACTGAGTGCGGGAAATCTCAAAAAAGCAAGATGCAAGATTAACTATTAAGTTTTTTTGCGTGTCATAGGCAGTTGTTGGGGAAAAACGATAGTTTTAGTATTGGAGCAGTATTTATTACTTTCGTCTTGAAAAAATAATTGCATATTCCTTGAGCATGATGAAATAACGGATATGAAATAATTGCAGGCTATTGTGTTCTTTTATTGGCCGAACTTCCTATTTTTGAAGCCCTCAAAACTAAAAAAAAAATGCAATTGAAATATCCCACGGCGCCATCTTTTTAATCCTGGCTCCTAGCCGACACTCGAAAGTCAGCTGGCAAAAAAGCACAGACTTCGATGAAAATCATAGAAAAAGATCAATGGCCTCCTTTTTCCCACCCATCAGCAATTTACAGACGAGCGCTAGTTCAATCCACTTTTAGTGAGCCAACGCAAGTTTTTAACACTATAGATTTGGCTCGAAAAAGAAGATATCGTCAAGTTGACATTAAGTTTGCGTCCATTTTTTCACCTAGACTTGCCTCCAAAGCCAAATAAAAACAAAATTGGAAATTCTTTTCACTTCGATTCTCTGGTAAAAATCGCTTTTGATAAAGAAGACGATATATTTTTTCATTTTTTTTCAAACGTTTTATGATTTTTATTCGATTGAGTATGTGTGGAGTGTCTTGCAAACTAATTAAATTGTGTCGTCATTTGCGGCTGCTTCTCTTCCCTGTCTGAACAGCCCTACAGACAGCCATTTTTTGATTATTGCTTCTCCTATCGTTTTTATTGTTAGGAGTTTTTGTTTTGTGATTACTTTTTCGGTATCTGGTGGTTGACGTATACGATGTATACGGTATGTGACGGTTGAGCGGAAACTCGATGTTCCCACCCACAATGATTACTTTGACATGAAAGGTACTGAGATGAAAAACGTGGTCAAGCAAAGCGTGAAAACAGAAGAAAATTCAGCTTACTAGTTTTTAGCCTGCTTGAGCTAACTTGACCAAAATAGCAGATTGAGCTCTTGTAAAAATTCTGAGACAAAAAATCTCATTCCAAAACACGAGTGCTCGTAAAAACATCTTGGATGCACTCTCACACCCTGTTTAGCTTACTGAGAATAACTTTTAATTTGATACCAAACGAAACCCTCGTGAGCGTTTTTTACCGCATCCAAACATCGTGACAGTACATCTGTGGGAGTGATAATAAAAACATTATTGATTGCATTTGGTATGCAATCTGTTTGGACACTTGTTATGGCTTGATTTTGCACTAAGAGTGAGAAATACTACTTCTGTAATTGCAGCATTTAAAAATATCGTTTTGTTGCGTTTTTGTTGACCAGACTTGGGGTTAAATTTCATTTTGGGAATTTGTTTTTATCAGCTGTACAAAAAATATAAAGTTTCTTCAGCTTAAAGTATTAAAGATTGATCAATTAAGTTCTGAAAAAAATTCTAGGCAAACTCAAAAACCAATATAAGCAACGGTTTTTTTTCTTCTGTTGACAACCAATGGTTATTGACTCGACCCAACCACACATTGATTCAGCACTGAATGGTTCAATTTGATTGGTCGGTTCCATCTTCGTCAACTACATTATAAGTATCAGCTTGACATGCAACAAATTTCTTTAGTTTTGGCAGAAAAAATGCACTAGTTAGTATGACCTGCTTTTTAAATGGTGCAGAAAAACTCAAATTTTGCATCAAACTTTGTTGTCTCGATTCGATCAATCAAATTTATGTGGAGAAAAAAATAGACACATCTAAAGTGTTTTTGTTATTCCCTGCCTTTGAAAACAACAGCTAAAGTGCACAATTTGCTTCAAATTTTTTTCAGCATTCCGTCAGTTTTTTTTTGAGTCGTGCAGTATTTCTTCTATAGTTATGTAAAGTGTTTTCTCATTTCAGTCAAAATTCAATTTTTGCTTTTCTCACTTTTGGCAAATCTTCCTCGAATTAAAAACCAATTTTTGCTTTTCTCACTTTTGGCAAATCTTGTTGAGGTCAGGCCATCTCAAGGTCAGACAGATTAATTGAATCATAATCAAAACTGATTAAACTCAGACAAGGTCAACTAGTGATCTCAAACTAATTAATTAGTATGTTAATAGTTAACTGGTACTTTTGTGATGCTTAGTTTGTCATGTCATTTATATTCACTTCTTTCAATTCATTCTTCAACAATCACTACCTTTTCTCAATCCTCAGTTCAAACCTCAGATTCTCTCTCAGTCTCTAAACCCAGCTCTTAATCCTAGTAGCTCTAACTATGAATCTTAACAGGTTATAGGCCCGGATTTCAAATTTTTTTCTTGTAATATTTTTCTGTCAGTGTTTTTAGCTTTTAGCTAGCAGCCTTAAGCAACGATGGACTTGAAACTGGCGGCTTTTAGTGGAAAGTCTGACAATTTTCCTACTTGGTCGACGAAGTTTGTGGCGCTGATGCTCACCAAGGGCCTGATTAGCAGGCAGCCTACGATACCAAGATGCAGGAGCGAGCAGTGTTGATCCAGTAGAGGAAATACAATCGAAAAACTGTGTGGTCCCACCTGGCTCTGGTGCTCAACAGCACCACTTTGATGTACATAAAGAACGACTGCGCGGGAACAGATGGCTATGGCGATGGGACGAAGGCTTGGAAGCTGCTTCAAGAGAAGTTTTGCAGTGTGGAGAGCCGACGGTGGTCAGTCTAGTAGGTCAGCTTGTGAAGCTGCGCCTAGGATCAGAGGAGGATCTGGACGACTACTTCGTTCGCAGTCAAGAGCTGATGACGTGGTTGAGCGAAGCTGGAGAAGCAATCACGGACACACTGTTCAATGCTTTGGTGATCAATGGGCTGCTTGACAGCTATGAGAGTTTTGTGGTGCAAGAGAGCTTTCAACCAGTCAAGACGTTTCCAGAGCTGAGAACGAGGTTGAGGAACTACGATGGCTCGAGGCAGGGTCGATGTGGAGAGAGGACTGGACATGGTCATATAGCCACGCAAGCTGTGAGGAAGAAGAAAGGAGTGGCAAGTAGTGGCTGCTATATGTGCGGTCAGAATGGTCATTTGGCGAGTGACTGCAAATCCAAAAGTGACAGCGGACAATCCAGTGCTCGAGGCAGTGGGTCAAACGAAGCAAGTGGGCCAGGAGCAAAGAAGCAAGGGTACTTCAAGTGTGGGCAACCTGGACATTATGCAAGGGAGTGCAAGCAGGGGAGGACAGGGTTCTACAGTTATTGTGCTGCAACTTCAATGAAGGGAGACGACCTCGTTGTGGATACGGGATGCAATGATTATGTAGTGCGCGACAGGGCTGTCTTTTCTAGCTTTAAGAGCTGGAACGAAGGGACAACTGTGGAGAACCCCAACGGCACGCTGTCACCGATTGAGGGCAAAGAATCAGTGGAAGTGGAGATCAGGGACTGCCATGATGCTGTGAGGAGCTACACTTTTCACAATGTGCTGTTTGTGCCGAGCTACAGTGTGAACTTGATGAGTGTGAGCTCAGCTGTGGCTAGAGGCTCAATCTTCAGTTTCGCTGCAGATGCGTCACATCTACTGGCACCAGATGGGGGTCAGCTACCTGCGAAGCAGCGCGGCAAGCTTTTCTTCCCTGACTGCAAGTTCAACGGAAACCCGATGACACTAATGACAAAAACAAGGAGGGACACCAGTGATGCAATGTTGTGGCACCGACGACTGGGGCACCGACGACTTTCATCGCTTGTCAATGTGGGCGAGCTAGAGTTCTGTGAAGTTTGTACAGCTTCCAAGATGCATGAAGTAGCAGTGTCTAAGAAGATTGACAACAGAGCATCGGCAGTGGGGCAACGGGTCTTCAGTGACATTCAAGGACCGTTTGAAGTACCGAGTATGCATGGTGCACGCTATGCCTTGAGCTTCATCGACGACTTCAGTCGGCTGGCTGTGGTCAAGTACCTGGTG